TTGACCATTTTGGGATCTTGTTATTGTAAAAGCCATATTGACGTCAGTTTTTTATGCGTCTGTCCTCTTATCGACAATGAATTTCATCACAACATTGTCAGAGTTTACTGCCGAACCACCTTGACAATGTTATGACGCAATTTGTCATCAATATGGGTACAGACGCATAAAAACCTGTTAAATCGACAGCATGTAACAGTAGTCCTACTAGATGACTATACCATATGTGCAAAGTTCTTAGAGTGCATTTGTCAGATAAGGTGGAAATTTTGGGAAGGAAAGAGCTTAATTCTGGGAATTTTATGGTAACCCACTAGCCGGTCAGTATTAGGCCCATCCACACCAATGTGGTGTACAATGATGGGTTATCGCTAAATGCTCCACACTACTGTTTCGCCATCCCTACTAAAATGGTCAAAGCACCAATATGCTACAAGAAAACACCACAACTATTATTGCCACATGTGACTGATGTCTCCACTTTCAAAAGCCTTTTTGTCCACTGTCATTCAATAGACCTACATTTTCAATTCTAAAATGGGGGCCTATCCCCATCATTGTCCAGGGTCAGCATCTTCAATGCATGTGTTTTTGACTAAAATGATGACCATTGTGAATTGTTCAAGTGTGGAAGGTATACATTTTTTCATCTTTAGAATTTTCGGTATCCACTTTCCCACAAACCAAATGAAAATAGTCACTTGCAATCCAGCTATCCTTTCCACAAAGTTATTGCCACGGGTACTAGCCTTATTAATGTCTATAATGAAAAATACCCTTCCCTTTCTTCCTTTGTGTTTCAGATGAAGTCAGTCAACAGTCAGGTAAATCCAAACAACGTCTTTTATTTCTACACAAGTTGGTACATTACATGTGTCGTTATCTACTCATTTTCTTCACTGCGAAGCCTTGCATTTGCATTGGTTATCTTGATTGCCAGTTGTTGGGCACGCTCCACAATTTCTTTCCTCTTTTTGCTAGAGACATTGTGGGCAATTTCGGCAGCATAGCTTTTGTTAGCCATCAGGAGAACCTCAAGTTCCTAACAAGAAAAAAGAAACAGAAACTTGATTGTGAAATTCTGTTGGGAAAACAGCTACTATAAAGTTAGTTTCTGAATTCTCCTAACAAGAATGATTGATTTTTTTAATTGACTCAGTTATGAGGAAAACCTAATGATGAAAATGCTTACAGTGACACTACATCTAAAAGTACCATAACAACCAGGGCCACTAGACAAAGGAAACTAAACCACCTTGCACAATCAAAGAAGAGAAATCCAACGTCAGTTGTTCAGAGACCCTCAACATGGAGTCACATTGAAATTACGTATACATGTACCATACAATGGAACATCAATTTTTTTGAACCTCAGAGGGAAATGAAAATTGGTTTGAAAAATCAGATAGTTTGAGAAATCAGGGGTAAAATTACTGTGTTTGACTGAGGAGAGGGAAATGACTTTTGGTCTGAGTTATCAGGAGGTTTGAAAAATAAAGGGTTCAAGAACTCGGGAATCCACAGACTTCAAAATGTGGGCCTTGTTACAATAATCAAACTGTAACAAAATGTAAGCTACTTTAGTTATAATGTTGCAATGTGGATTGAGAACCAAGAACACTGGACATTAAGAAAGAGGTCCTCTCCGGTCTCACCCATTTACACTGCAGTGATCTCCTTCCTTTGGACAACCAGCACTGTCAAGACTACTCCACCGGTTACAACAGATGAATGGCTATGCCAATCAGACTGATGTGACCATGGTCTTAGTTCAAAGTGAGGTGCTTTTTAAAGGAAGGGGTAATCTGAAATATAATCGCCTTCAAGTGCATTGTAATCATGAAATCACATGGTAGGCAGTCACAAAAACACTGGACCTCCAACTTTTTGAACCTCACTGGGAACCACAACGAATGGTTTGAGAAATCAGGGGTAACATCACTGTGTTTGACTGAGATGAGGGAAACAACTATTGGTTTAAGTTATCACAAAGTTCAAAAAAATCGAGGGTTTGAGAAATCGGGATTCCACTGCACAATGAAATGTGAATATAAAACCATATTACAAGACAGTCATAGTGGCTACCTTTACATTGTGAATGACAAATTTCTTGAACCCATCTGGCATCAGATGTCGCGTTTTTTTGTTGCTGCCATACCCTATGCTGGGCATAAGATATTGCCCTTTGAATCTCCTTCGGACTCTGTTGTCAATACCTTTTGGCTTACGCCAGCTTGGCTAGAGAAAAAATACAGAATGCTCTGTTAGTTCACAACTAACACCATTCTGGAATAGAATCACTTTTTAAATATGAAAGTCCACCAGTAACCTTTTATTTCATTCGATATTTCCTTATGGTACTGACAAATCAAATTAGTTTAAACACAATGAAATTTGTATCATATTATACTAGTACACATACATGTAGTAATGACTAGAGTTCAACACTATATAAGTAAATGTACATTTTGGATTGAGGTTCATGACATGGGACATTAAGAAAGAGGTCCTCCATGTACCTCACCCAAACAAAATGAGTTTCTCTCCTTCCCTTGGACAACCAACACTTTCATTACTAAGCCAGAAGCAAAAATGCAGTGGTTTAAGTTCAGAGTGTGGTGCTTTAAAGGGAAGGTTGTAAATAACAGTACCGATTTAGCTTTTAAAATCAATGTCAGTTTGAAGTTGTCATTTGATATCACACAGTGTTCCCAATACCAGCTGCTGGTGTGGAAAAGTATCAGAAAAGTCTTAGAAGAGTTAAGTCTTATATCCATTTTTGATGAATTATTAGCAAATTGTTTATTTGCAATGTCCAAATCGTAGCTAGCATGTTCTCTCTCTCCCTGCCAGTACCACTCGACCACTCAGTACAAATTTGTTATGATACAGGTAAGACAACTATATTTATCGCATTATTGAATTTAGGATGCCAGGATTTTAATTTTTAAAACCAAAACGTAACTCAAGAGACCTCCAGAAATGAATGCTGCTTTGATTTAAATAGTTATTTAACACAAAACTGTCAAGCAAAACACATAATCCCTGCAGAACCCGGGCGACCACGGTTTACAAGGGTCTTCATGATTGGCCAAATGAAACAATAAGTATACAACACAAACAATGCCCCTCGCCCTAAAAACAAAAGAGGTGCAGATTAACAAGAACGAGTCAAAGTAGAAGTTTTAAAGGGGTGCAGGTCATCTGCAGAACCCTGTATGATACCCCACTGAGCATGATTGCCCTGAGAGACTGCTGGCCAGCATTGGCTTGACTCAAACTTTGCCTAAATTACATTGAGCCATATAAAATGGGAAGGAGCACTGACTAAAGACCAAATTTTTATATTTATGTGGTTTTGGAGATTTATAAACTACCTTGTATGATCATGTAATTTTATAAAAACAGTGGGCTAACAAGAGACCAACCTTGACTCTGAGGTATCTATCAGACTGATGTCTGATAAACCTCTTCTTACGCTTCTTTACAATCCTGGGTTTATTTGCTGGCATAACCATCTTGGCTATATAAAATAAAAATCATAAAAACACGAGTTTACTTACGGCAATAGTGGATGATTCACAAACAATTTATCAAAGTAAATGAACATATTACACATATATGATGCGGTGTGCATTGCCCTACACCAAAACAATAAATAAACGAAACGCAAAAACTTTCAGAATTTGACTGACTTAAACGAACTGTTGGGAAACTTCCCAAGAGGTATGAGTCATGTGGGTTTCAACTTCTAACACGTTGCGATAACAATGAGCCACATAATATTTCGAAATGAATACACAGTGGGAAAGATTTCGAATAGTTTAAAAAGGAACAGAAAATTATTTTGATTTCCAGCGAACGATTTCCATTTCCAGAACTGGCGATTCCATACACAACCTCTAAAATTTAGATTTCAATAGAATCGATGTTCCATGATATTCACGTAATTTTTCGATGCAGGAACCACTTTCAGCGTAAACTATTTCAACCTGACTAGTATTTAGCAAATAACGTAATAAATAAGTATGTTCTGACATGAAGATGCCTTCCAAATTCGCCAAATTTGACTGGATTGAACTCACTCACCTAACCCGAACAGACGAGCAGCAAAGAAAATGGCGAAGAGGCCATTACGAGGTGCGCGGGGACTCATGGGCTAACAAAATTTTCCCCTATCCTACCCGACACGGGATGAAAATTGCTCCTTGGGGTCGGGTACTCAAATCGCAAAACACTGAAATTACAGTAAAACGCCGAGCCAAAATCTCGAAGATTGAATAATCACGTTCAGAGAAGAAAATACTTAAGGGCTAATATAAAGTTCAAAAAAAAAAATAATAAAACGGATAATAATAATTAATAAAATTAAACAGGGAACGGGAGTAAACGACAAAATTAACTTTGTGAAGGTGATCTTATAAGGTATTTTTCATTTTTTAGGCGTTTTTTTTTTCTGTCTTTTTGCAATCAAAACGTTTTTGACGCGTCTACAAATGATAAGCGCGAGATCGAGAGCGCAGAATTGAAGTGGTAAAGGAAGTTTAGATTAATTTTCACCATGGGCTCCTGATTTCACCAGGAGCCATAATGGGGGACTTCTGCTAGTTTCACAGAAAATTTGAATACCGGTATGTCCTAAGCGGGTTTTCACCAAAATTCTCGGAAAATAAAAAAATCCTTTTCACATGTAACAAAAGATGGAGATATTTTTCAAGCGAGATTTATCTTGTTCGACATCTTTGCTATTTCTTTGCTTCTTTTTTTTTCGCAAGAAGCAAGAGCTTAACCACCGCACCACCGTCACTGAAGACTGATGCAGAGAAACGGACCGCATTGGCTTTCACAGTTATGCTGTTTATTACGTAATGAGGGGTATATTCCCATTTCACAGAAATTTTTTTAGAAAAATCGTGGTTCCGGGCTATTTCCGAAATCACGATTGATGAGAAAAATCAACTCATTTCACTTTTTACGGAAAAAAGGCCACTCTGTCGCGCATCACGAAAATACCCCTGCTTTACCACCCTGACACGCGCGCACTAATTACGATGTCTTTGGTGACTTCACAGTGGTTTCCAGTTCACGTCACTACACTGATTGTGTGTGTGAACTTCAGTGTGTGAGATTGTATCGACCACATAGTACGGAAAGCATCGCGAACTAAAATGGATGCAAAAATGATCGACAAGCTTCCGGAGTCAATCTTGCTCGATATTTTCCATTGGTGCGCTTTTAAAGATCTTGGACATGTCGCGATGGTGTGCAAAAAATGGCGACGCATCGCGTACGATCATTCCCTTTGGAGAGATGCAGATTTGCGCGGCTTGAATCTAACTGAAAGAACCTTAGTTCTGATCGATCGAATATCTTCATTCGTTTTCACGATAAATATCAGTGGATGTGCAGTCACCGTTTCGTTTATCACGGCTATAGCTGAGAAATGCATCAACTTGAAAACTTTGAGGTAAGTTTGCTTGCTAGCGGCAATTTAACTTAGATTGCAATAAGCAGAAGTTCATTATCTCTGTTGAATCCACTCTGTTAAATACGCTACGTAGAGACAGAATAACAGTAGCCACACTGAAAGAAAGCCAATCTGACATTGAAGCATGATATCATGTAAAATGTAGATTGGTGGTTCTGTAGAAAACTCTTCAACCCATAAATTAATCCTCATCTGATCAGTTGGTTCATGTAGCTCAGATATTTGCACTTTTCACGAAACAACAAATCTTACGATTTTCGCGATTTCTCTTAACAAACTTTAAAAGAACTAACACCCGAAAAGTTATCCTCATTACAACAGATCACAACTGAATTAACTTCCTTGCTTATCCATGCTTCTCGAGAAAGGCAAACAAACTTTTAGTAAATTCTTGCCTGTTAAGATATGTTGGCCTGCCCTTTCAAAGCGGAACAATGCAGCCGATAATTGTTTTTACAAACCATATATTTGTGCCAGGCGATGATAAAACGGCTCTTGAGCTTAATAAGTCTAAGACTGGAACAGATGAAATTTGTCATATAATTTAATATTTAGCAACAGTTATGAAACGAAAATATCACGCGAAAAAACTAACAGGTAGATTAGATTAAACAGATACTGGTCGTCAAGGGAAACATAAAATAGGCAATGTAGACGGAAAAGTTACAATCTAAGGGAACGTTCAGCTTTTCCAGTGTTCAAAATAAAAGGAAACCAGTTACGCGGGAGAAAGAAAATTATCTCAACCATACTGAGTGAGGAGGAAATTAAAATTTTTACGTAACTACAAGTAAAACGGACTCGAAATTTGCGTAAGACAAAGATTATGCCTTTAAACATAGCCAAATTTATCAGTCAGATAAAAATTAGTGATACTGTAATTGTATAGAAAGAAACGGTTAATTGTATACAGAGTTTTAATTGTTTAACTTATCACGGACAAGCTGGGTTTCTGACCGTAAACCCTGTCAGCGATAATTTGAAACAATTAAAATTGCGGGATGCATGGGATAGGGATACCTGTTACAAGAAAAACCAAAATAATAATTAGTGGACCGCAGACACGCGTATCACACTGAGGGGGGAAAAACATGCAACGATGTATGAAGCAAGATTGCGCGTTAAGTCTCCGGGAGGTACCCCCTATTTTGGGCTATACGGGGAAGTGCCACTGGACAGGGTATGGGTTTTTGGCTTCACTGTCCTGAACAGAGTATACAAATTTACTCGCCTGTGGCCTAAACAGAGTCAGAACCTGTCCTAAACAGGAAATGGTTACAGGATCTGTACGAGTTTAGAACACGAGCAGGCTCACCTTTGAGTCTCACGCGAGAGCTACGAAGAGCAAGTCGGCGAGCGGAAGGTTTTTGTAAAGCAAGGGAGTGCGTATTTTGCCTCTTTTCCTAAACAGGGTCTTAAATTAAAGGGTGTTGGTAGAGTATTTTTTCCCTAAGCAGGGTCAGGATTTCAAACCCTCGGCGGCACCCTATACCAAGAGACGGGCCAAGTACCCCTCTCGGGCGTTAGGTAAACGAAATCTGACTAATTCCGAGCTGCGCTAAAGAGTAGAGCTCCATGGTCTGGAATATCTGGCTGCAAAATTTATGAACAAACTCGAGAAAAGAAGGACAGTGTAACATTTTAAGCTAAGTGATTCATAAGTTTAGCACTTTACTGCGGTGATAGTATAAAACGGCTGGGAGTATTGAGACTCAATCAATCCATCAATCAATCGATCAACTCATTAATGTCAAAATGTGTGATGAAGTTGCCCTATATATCCGAGCCAGAGGCTCACGTATAAAACCCTTCACAAGAGGTGAGGGCAAAATAACGAAACATTTAAAGGAACTAATCTAAGTAAGTATTAACTAAATATAGACAATACAGAGTTTATTAAAAATATTGTAATATAAATATCAGTGAAAATACAGATTTTAAATGCTTCACCCACAAACGCTAACAAGTTAATATAAGAAATTATTGTACCGCCCCAAATTAAGAATATGACACTAAATTCCCTTTGAAAGAAAACAACTACATTTACAGCTGGTCATAACGTGTTAGAAAAATCAAACGACTTTAACGTCTCGCCAAAATCCCTCAAATTAGACGTTGGGCATGCCTGCTGGCATGGCATGTATTCCATAAATGCGACAATCTATAATTAAAAGATATTGCATACAACAAGGCTGGACAAGATTACAACTTCTATCCCTTAAATCGTAATGGCAATTATGACGTTCAAATACATTAGAGATATAGCTAGGCCCTGACTGGTCCCGGGTTGCATGCGGGTCCATCGCGGATTCAGTAGGCCCCAGTATTCTGTCAGGTTGCCAAACAATTAGCGGGTACACTTTTATACTCAATGGTAGAGAGAGCCCTGAGGAATGTGTCTTGCCCAAGAGGAATTTGTCTTAAATGAAGCGATTTATTTATTTTTTAATTAATTAATTAATTTATTTATTTATTTATTTGCCCGAGAACATAACGCAGTGTTTGTGGTCAGGGCTCCAAACAGGATCACTGGATCCGAACTTTTTTTCATGAAGAAATCAACACTGCAAGAGGCCTTTCAAGACAATGAGGAACGAGCGCTGTTTCCAGTCCCTGTTTCCCCATTCCAGTTGAACCTTTTTCCAACAGCCACCCTGAGGCAGAAATAAATAACCGTTTTAAGGTGGTGGCTGTTTTAAGGGAAAATTCTCAGTAAAAGTAAAGAATATGCATTGACGCACACTGTCGGAACAGAAATGTTGGCCGTTGATGTAGCGAGTTGGGAATTGAGCTGGAGAGGTTGGGTGTTAGCGTTTCGACTGGCTGTATAAGGCCAGTTGTTCACTTCTCCCGCTTAGTGTAGGGCTCGTTAGATATCATTCTCAAATATTAAGCATTCCAAAAAACGAAGAAACGACGGCATTCAGAGCCGATTATGTACGCGACGAGGTAAATAGGGGGTAATAACTATTACAGGTTTTTTTGTCTCCCTCCACACTCAAGGTAGTTTGGAGGGAGATTACTTCCTGAGATACATTTTCTTGTTAATTGTGTTATTTCTTTCTTTTTACAGTTTACAAGGCGCGCAATTTACAGACTACACAAACGGCTTTCGCCTAAACTGTGATTCCTTTAAGAACCTTGAAAATCTTGATCTCCGATTTGTTTATGGTGAAGAGTCCAAAATTTTCATCACATTTCTCAGCCAAATCAGAAACATTCAATGCCTTGGCATCGATAGCGTTGGTACAACGGGAGAGTTAGAAAGGATTTTTGTCACACAGCGCAATTTGCGCATAGTTCATTGTCAAAATTGCGTTTCCTTCACTGATATACACGTCGACATCTTGGCGAGCTGCTGTCCTAAGCTTGAATCGCTGTGCCTGACGGGATGTATCTATGTCACAGGTTCGTCGTTCCCGCGTCTTATCGCTGAATGCAAACATCTGCAAACTCTGTTACTGAGCTGCACCAGGGTGCGGAATAATAGCATTATGCGCACGGATTGGAGTCAAGTCAGCTTAACTGAACTCGATATTTCATATTGTTATGGAATAGGCGAGACTGGTCTGATGGAAATGCTGCCGAAGTTAACACAACTGAGATATCTACAGTTGTCGTTTTGCGGTTGGGGAAGAGCTCTCAGCGACGAGGTTATGAAAGCCATGTCGCAGTCTTGCTATCAAAAGTTAGACTCTCTCGACATACACAGTAGCTTCAACATTACTGGTGATACGCTCTGTAAGTTTGTTAGACGGTGTCCAAGATTAACGACTCTCTGTGTTGGAAGTGCTATTGCTTCCAACGAAGAGCTAGAAGCATTGCTAAAAGGTCTGCACAATTTAAAGCATTTTTATATCACAAAACAAGCCACAATTAAAACGGAAACTGTGTTTACTTACGTTAAAAAGTTCTGCCATCGCATCGAAACCCTGGCGTTGTACAACTTTTACGCTATCACAAGGCATCGAGTTGAGGAAGCACTCATCGAACTGGTGGAAGCCTGCAAGTTTCTGAAAGTTCTTTGCATTCGGGGAACAAATGTACCTTTAAGAACCGAACTTGCACACATGGCCAACAAAGTCAAGAACTGTGCAAAGAGAAATGACATTGAAATATCAAGAAGGCCTCATTTTTTGTTATCTGGAGCGAAGCTATGCTTGGATAGTGTGGTTAAAAATACAATTTTCCCAACGTGAAAATTAGAGGACTATTTTCGCAGTTCTCATGTGATTTACCGAAGCTGTAACGGTGGGTGTTGTAATGAAGATAAATCGCCGACAATTGTGTAGTCCGGAAAAACCGGATATTAACAAGGATCTACGCAACAAGCTCGTGCTTCCAGCCTCCAAGTCCATCGATCCGTGAGTGACTGCTGAAATCTGCTTTGACAGTAACTGACTGAACTATATACTGAAGTGAAAGTTCCAATGATATTTAATTTGTCATAGCCAGTGACAGAATGTATGCAATTAAATTCGTTTATTCATTATTATCTATTAGTTATTTTTATTTTGTCTCTGCCTTTTTTTCTGTTACTAGATACACTTCTCAGATATTGTTACATAACCTTTACCCAATGCTAGCTAGGTTAAGGGATTTTACAAGAGCGCGCACAGTAAGCAACCTCGTACATGTAGAAAGCTAGTTTATATTTGTTAGGAGGTTACTCTGTAATTAAACCACCAGATAGTTCAAATCCATTTAATATTTTGCAGTGCGGCTCTTTATAAGACAGACGTTAACCTGAAATTTTTATTGGATAATACAACATCTTTCATTTGGCGAAACATAATGCCGAATTCTGTTTCACTGACGCTAGACTTTCTCGCGGCTACGCTAGCTTCGAACAATTCCAGCGCTCATATATGCATACCGCACTCGAGTTCACCAGCAAACTCCCGATTGCAACTCAAAAGACCTATCTTAGAATTTAACAGTTCTCAAATAGCGATTTTGAAGGACAAAAAACTCCTGGGCTCTTGCTACCTTACGAGCCTGATCCACGGTTAACTGAGCTTCGTTAGTCAGCTGAAGGCGGGGATGTCAAGGTGAATGGGAAGAGTAGTACAGTAAAAATCCGCGTGTAACAACCCACATTTTAGTCACATTTAAAGTCTGACAAAACAGGTTCTTGTAGTTTGGGGTTGTTATTGGAAATTTAGGCTAAGTAGGTTATTATTTAGGTTCTTAATTTCTATGAAGTATATTTAATCACCTGTCGAACTGAGTGGTTTCAAACGTCGTGCTACTGCCATGCATAAGTCGAATTTAATTCTTGAATTTAGTTCGGCACGGCAGTAGCACGACGTTTGGAATAGGCCTTAGTCCGTAAATGACAAGTTTGCTCAATTAGAAACCTCTACACTAGCGTAAACAAAAGAACTGAAGCTTTATGCTGCTAGTTACTAGCTGCTGCCACTGTGTGCCCACGTGCTCTCAGCCGTCTTCTTACTACTTTGCCTGTCGTCTGCTGGCTACTTCAGACTAATGCGACTGTTAGCTGCCACCTGCCTGCTATCTGTTATTCTTCTTGCTACCTAATGTTGCATGGTGACTGCTGTCTACTGATTATTTTGTCAGCCACCTGATGTTATCTGCTCCATGCTACTTAGCTGCTCCATGCTACTTAGCTGCATGATGCTGCCAACTGCCTGATACCTGCCGCCTGCCTGCTGCCGGTCTGCTGACTGATACCTGAAATCTGCTAACTGCGTTGTAAGATACAGATACCAGCTGATGGAAATATATTTTACTACTACTTAACGCTACCCTTGCTATTGCCGCATGCCGTATGCTGAATACTGCTGACGAACCTGACTGATGCCTGTTCAGGCCTGCTGCCTGCTGCATACTGTAGCTCTTCTGTGAGTCACCTGATGGTTAATGCTGGCTGACATCTGCTGTTGCTTTTGCCCCCTGCCGTCTGCTGTCTACTGCTGATAAACCAATGCCTATATACTCATATCTGCTGTCTGCTGCATACTGCTGCTCTTTCGTGGGTCACATGATGCTGAATGCTGGCTAATACCTGTTGTCTGCTATTGTCGCCTACTGTCTGCTGACTGACTGATGCCTTCTGTCTCATGTCTGTTGCCTACTTTCCCTCCCTTTACCTGATCCTAATTGTTGCCTGCTACCAGTTACCTTCCTCGCCCTCCTTCTACCTGCTGACCGCTGCTGGCAGACTTATTCTTCCTAACATCTACTGCCTACTGCCTGATGCAACTGCATGCTCTGCAGCTTGATACTTAACGCTGAACGTTGCCAACTGCTTGATTGTTGTTGATCTTTGATCTAAACTGGGTGGGAACATATAATAATCAATAACAGTGGCGAGTTTTCGACGTTTCATGACCTAGGCTAGTGCTACCAATTATTCTCCACAGACTAATTTGCTTTTCTGATAGTGTTTTGTAAGCAACTGCTGCCTGTGTGATACAGTTGGCTTAGAAGAAAGGCAAATCATAGTATTTATAGTTCGTACATGCTACTACATGTATACATCATCACTCAACAACACCTTCTTGGTAAATAATTTTATTTTAAACCCAGATCAAAGAAATTGCTCTAGGAACAAGAAATACGGAATATAAACACTCAGGGTTTTAGCTGAACTGCAACACTGGCACACTACGCAATGAAACCAAGCTCGGAAAATGAGTGTTAACTATAACAAATTTAATATTTGATCTAATGGACTGACTTGTGGAATGAAACTGATGAGAGATTTTAAATCCTAACTTCAAACTTATTTACTAATTAGTTTTCATAACTGGTATATTTTGCTATTTTCATATTTCCGTACTGTTGCTTATTTATCTATTTATTTATTTATTTATTTAGTATTTGGTTATTTATTTGTTTAGTATTTATTGACTTATTTATCCATTTATTTTATCGCGTACATGTATGTAAATAACCTATGTATTTGTTTTGTAATCTGTACTTTTAATTGAGGTGTGAACATAAATTTAAATAATTTAGTTAATTAAAGTAAGCCTCTTTCTAAAAAAAAGTGTCTTTATTTTTAATTAATAACTGGTGGTCACCCAATAGTTTAGCTTCATAGTTATTTTGGATGACCAGCTACTGAATGTATTTTTAGTTAATATTGTATGATTAATTGTTTAATTTTACAATGCAAATAAACAATGTTGAAATAACAAGACTAATATGAATAAAGACATTGTATCCTTTACCTCGAGGTAAAAATGGTATCGTTAACTTCAGGGAATGTTAAATTAATATTGTTATTATCTGAGCCATTTGACCAAATTTTTGATTCACTTTACAGCGAATTAAAAGTATTTATTAAAAAAGGTCTCGTGTACAACAAGGAACACACACACACACACACACACGACGGCGATCATTGTTGGTCTCTGAGCCATTTGACCAAATCTTGTGATTTGCTTTCCAACGAATCAAAAGTACTGTTCACTTTTTCAACATGTTTTTTCGTCAGAGGTGTTGAGGCTCCAAACCGTACCCGCTTTTCAGCCCCCGCTTTTGACAAGTCTGGTAAGACGCATAAACTCCTTCTTCTAGGCGTTGTTGAAGCTACCGGTGCAAATTCCTTAACTTGGCCGGCTGTATTCCTATTTCTTTGAGGTATGCTCGGCAATTTCCATTCCTTCATCCCTCTCCTCTTGTCGCAGTGTAAATCTTGCAAAGTTACCTGGTCCGCGGTCCACTGCAGAACCAGTTCTCCAAGCTTGAAGGGAATGGTTTTGAAACCTGGCAAACTATATAGGGAAAAACAAAAAATAACATGTATGATTTGTGTTGAAAGGTCCACGACCGTGCCGGACAATCTTTAGTTTTGGGCTCAAACATTATGCATGAAATAGGTAGCCAAAACGTTTCTTTTGGTTAGTTCCTCAGTCAGAAGTAAACATTTATTGTGTTTTGTGCCCGGTCGAGGACAAAAAGCAAACAAAAACACACGACAAAGAACTATCTCGAGCTTGATAATCACTCTCCTCTACTTTAACTTCTCTTGCCAAAGTATTGCAAATAAATCATATGGCAGTCACAAATAATTATCGTCACCAAAACCCATCTGCCTGAAGTAAAGTTTTGGAAATTTACTGGCGAACCATTGAAGGGACTTAAGGTGTCAAGCTTTTTAATATAAAATTGTCAATATTTCAACTGAGAAGCACAGGAAGTTACACCGCTTTAGGCAAGAGCTAAATTTGGTCATGGTGTTACCGCTATTTTTAAAGACTAATCATAAAAATTACTATTCACTCGATTGTGAAAAACTCCTATTTTCCACTTATTCACCTGCCAAGTTGTTATCGGACAGTTTGTTATCGGACAGTTCAATAGGCGAATCTTTGCTGACGTCATTGTTAACATTTTTCCTCATTAACATACGACTTTGCGCATAGAAGGCATCATGCTAAACACGATTTCGCTACAAAAACGTAAAGAGCTTGTGAAACTTAGTAAGTGGTGAAATTTTTGGCCCTTTTGGTGTAATATTCGAGGAGAAACTGGCTTTCAAAAACATCAAAATTTCTTTGTGGCAAAAGCGCTAAGAGCTCATACATTCTTTGTAAAATTTTTAGCTTTTAAACCCGCGTCGCACAAAAAAGTATTCAATACATTGCGCTCAAATTCCTCGGGACAGTTAAACGTGCTGTGCCCTTTCAATATTCAGTATTAATCTCTTTGTAGCTCTATCAGAAACTGTATCGCTTATGGTAATGAGGCAAATATTGAAAACAAAGATTTTCCTATAAGTCAATCACATTCAAAATTGTAGTTTAAATCAACCAATCACATTCAAAGTTAACATTCGTATGATTACAGACCGAATTACTTATTATCTATACACGGTATAATAACAAATCTTTTATAGTATTAAATAAATAAATAAATGAAAGATCATTTGGATTTGTTCCCTGAGCCATAAATAACCTTTATTACTTATTCAGCTGTGAAGCCGGCTCATTTTGCTTCAAAACGACCTCTTAATTTCCATTCCTCGTACATTTGCTACTTTGTGATTATCTAGTTTGTGCTTCTCGTTTGTCTGTTTTTATGAATTTGAGAGTAAACGGCTAGTCCTTGAATAGGAGTTAAAGTTCCAGTCAGCTAACGCATCTGCCGCATAACGTTTTAATAACGAAATGAATTTTAACTTCAGTTGATAAGATAAGAATTAAAAAAAATTAACGGTTAAAAAAGTTGAGCATCGTGTATGTGTTTGTAGGATTATTACAGCTTCTCTCCCGCTATGTATGACGGGAAGATTTGTTTAAAATGTACATCATCAACAACTATACCCTCCCTCGGGGACGTTTCTAACATTGCTTGGCAACGTTAAAACACATTTATGAAGTTTCCTTGGCACTGACTAACACAGTTTTTTCTATCATCCTTGGCCGTAGTCCAAAGTTCCCTTTCAAGTCTTACAAAGTGTAGTGCCACCTTGAGTGCCTCTCCGTACTTAATATAAGTGCGGCGCCACATTAAGTGCACCTCAAGCTTAAAATCAAGAGATCGTGAATGATGAATCAATTGTATTAATTCTTGGAATTTCGACGCAAAAGAGAACAATGAGAGCCAAATCAGTCCCAAATGGTTTCAATATTTTTAAAAACGTAAGATATCACTACACTCAGTTTTAACTTCTAATAT